GCTTGGGTGTAAAACGCTTTAGTGCAACAAAAATTAACAAATTTTCTATAAAAATTAGTTGATATATCCTTTATACAGTTGGTTTTGTATCAATTTAAGTGCGGATATTGACGTTTTTTGCCGTAGTAAGCGAATATTCACATTCACAATTACTTACACATAACCAGTAGATATTAAACCAGTAGATATTATAACCAGTAGATATTGAACGAACTGTAACTCAAACTAACCAAAAGTATGCAAACTCACCCAAACTAACCCGTCCACGTAATGCGTGCGAGTCCTTGTATGTGGATATTGAATTTAAAGGTAATTTTTGGGCTCTCGGGAACGGGCTATAGGGCGTTTTATGATCAAGTTCATTTTTGGTACACATATATATGACGTCAAAATAAATTTTTCAAAAAAAAATTTGACCTTGACTGTGACCTTGATCCTGATCTTGACCATCAAATTCACGTAAATGGCAGTTTAACGTGCTGAAAACTTTTATAGTGTTGAAAGGCATCTCAAGTAACCTATATACCGAGTTTTAGCCTTCAAGGTCATACACATTCAGAGATACCGCAACCCCGCATTCTCAGTTTGAGCTCTCGGGAACAGGGTAGAAGGCGTAGTCCGATTGAGTTTATTTTTGGTATACATATTTAGGCCGTAAAAGGTAACAGTTCAGTGAAGGTCCTTCAAAAAAAAAATATCATGCTTCTTCATTATAGATAGTTTAGTTTGATCCCAAAATATTGTTTTATGATCGAAAATGTTGGCGCAAATAACTATAAATTGGAGTTTATAAATATTGAATGAATCCTCTTCTCGACCTTTGACACAGATCAATATATAATATCTATTCTTATCAGCTTAATATCACAATCGCTCTGTCTAGCAGATAAAAATTTAATAAACGTAAAAAGCATCATGTGGTAGATATTCGAATGAAGAGAAGAGCTAAGTGTTCAAACCATTTTTGGAAAAAAACATTATTGAGTAATGATAAAGCGTATAATATCTACTGAAATTTTGAAATTGGTACACTTTAACCGACAATAACTGTGCTATGTCGAAACTGATCAAAAATATGCAAACTAACCCGAACTTACCCGTCTTTGTAATGCGTGCTAGTCCCCGTAAACCTATCTAATCGAGAATTACAAAATAATCCAAAACAACCCAAATTAACCCATTCTTGAAATGCATGCTAGTATCCTTGAACATTTTTATTTTATCTAGCTTGTCGCGCTTGGTTGTCGTTGTTAATCAGTAGGTACACTGTATCCAGTTTTAGATAAGTAATTAATATTCAATATCATGATGTTTCCTATTAAAAGTGTCCAAATTGGCCCACCCTGTACATAATTCCAGCACGATAAATAGATATTCACGTGAATTTCACTGGTGAAGGTCACGGTCAAGTTCACGGCCAACGGCCTAGGTCAATTTTTTTTTGGGGAAATTTCTTTCAGCGGCTTTTATATGTATACCAAAAATGAACTCGATTGGACTACGCCTTCTAGCCCATTCCCGAGAGCCCAAACTGAGAATGCGGGGTTGCCGTATCTCTGAATATGTATGACCTTGAAGGCTAAAACTCGGTGTGTGGGTTATTTATGATGCTCCTCGGCGCTATACATAATTTCAGCACGATAAATTGATATTTATGTGAATTTCACTGGTCAAGGTCACGGTCAAGGTCGCGGCTAAGGTCAATTTTTTCTTGGAAAAATTTCTTTCAGCGGCCTTTATATGTATACCAAAAATGAACTCAATCGGAGTATGCGTTCTACCCTGTTCCCGAGAGCCCTAATCATACCAATTTAAAAACAAAGCCCGCTTCGCGCGCTGTGTTCTCAATCAGTACACTTATAACCAGTAGATACGAACTGTAACCAAAACTAACCAAAAATATGCAAACTAACCCAAGCCAACCCGACCACTTAATGCGTACTAGTCCTATGCAAACTAACCCAAACTAACACACCTTTAAATTGAACCACTTTAATTTATAGATTTTTCTTGAAAACTAATATAATCCGCATATTTTTATATTGAAATCGGTCCAAAAAGGCTAACTACAACATTAGGAATGCATCTTATAAGAAACTACGTGTTGCACTAAAGCGTTTTACCACCCACGGCTTTTATAAAAGGCATTTTTTTAAGAGTTAAAATGCACTTTTTTATAGTTAAAAGGTACTTAGGTACTTTTTAAGGGTTAAAAACTTTTTTCTTAATGGCAAAAAATTAATTTTTAACCAATAAATATTACTTTTTAGTGGGTAAATTTTTACTTTTTAGCCACTAAAAAATATTTATCTTCAAAAACTGAAAAGTACGTTTTTAGTAGCTGAAAAGTAATTCCAAAAAAGCGATTTTTTTAATCGTAGCAAAGCACTTTGGCTATCCCATATTTAAATAGAGTTTTTATTAACGGCTAATAGATTTTTTGCTACCACAGCAAGAAAATTCTCTCAGTGAATGGTCTATTCGCCTTGCATCAAATGTAAAAAGATCCAGAGCTTCTGTCGACCGTGAAGTTATCTTAAATTTTTTCACCAAGAATAATGAAGCTTTAAATGATGTGGAAGATTTTAATATCTACAATTAATGACGAAAAAATGTGACAGATGATCCCGGTGCAAAAAGTTTGTGGTCCCAAGAAACACAACAAGGGTTCAGGGTTCAGATAAAGCAATGAAATTCAAATATGATAAACTCCCCTTTATGATAGGTACTTAATACGGAATATGGATGTATATTTGCATCGCTTCCAAATCTCGCGAAATTTGCAGGATTTGTACTCTACATTCCCAGGAAATTTCACATTAATATTATCGATACAGTTGCAAAATAGCTATTTATGAAGCTTTAAATGATGTAAAAGATTTTAATATCTACAATTATGACGAAAAAATGTGGAAGATGATCCCGGTGCAAAAAGTTTGTGGTCTCAAGAAACACAAAAAGGGTTCAGAACTATCTACCGTCTATAAATCCGGAAATTTATATGAAAACTGGACAGAAGGCGGCCCTCTTGGAAAAAAATATGCCAGCAGCCTCTCTGGCTGGTTTGATATGCTATATAACTATACTGTTTTGATATATTATTATGCTACTAGCTGACCCGGCGAACTTCGTTCCTCCTCTGAATTATTAAATACCTATTAAATGTTGTGTTAACGTATCTATTAACTGAATTAAATTCAGTTTTTTTCGATGGTGAATTTGGCTTTGGTCGAAGAAAATTAATTTTTACTCTCTGGATCAGAAGTCACCTAAAATTAAAATTTTACACCATCCCTTTTTAGGCATCTTGTGGGCATTATTCTTATAAAGTGTACCACCAAATCACAAACCAAATAAATAAACTCAGGCACAGGACACCAGCCGGGCGGATCACTCCGAAACGTCGGCACGGAACACGGCTGTCAAGGGTTGCCTAAGAGGAGAAACGGAACTTAGCCACAGAACTTCAATGGTCAAGCGTCAAGAAATGACAGGTAGACCAGTTCGCGCTCTTTCGGAATGAACGGACCAACAACAAAATAAAATACACAATTAAAACATTGTCATTCTATTTATTTTTGGACATTTTTACTGTGAAGATCAATTTAAAATAAAGTGCTTTCCTCAAATTGTTTTTGTGCAAAGTGTGTGACAATAAAATCCACATGGTTTGCAATGAAAATGTGACCGTAAACTTGGTATCGGTTATAAGAGATGGCGCCGTATGCGGGCTTAATGCGCGTTCATATTGACACCGCTCGAGCGGTGAGCGTTGCGCGATGCCGCTGTAGTGATGCCCAAAAATAATTTTAACATTATATTTCAAATGAACATGGTTACACTGGAGCGGCGCGTCCCGCGGTGTTAACATGTTCACTCCAAATATAATGTTAAAATTATTTTTGGGCATCGCTACAGCGGCATCGCGCAACGCTCACCGCTCGAGCGGTGCCAATGTGAACGCGCACTTACTGAGTTTTTTTCATAGATAAGAAGAATAGATAAAAAAAAAATTTTTGTTTTTTTTTTGGATTTTTTCGATTTATTATCGTAGTCAGCCGTTCTCGAGTTATAAGTGCTCAACACCAACACAACTGTGTTTTATATATATAGATATCTATAACTTCTGATGTTAGAAATATAAATTAATAATAACTTAACGGGACACTGAACTTGAAATTTAACGGGATCGCAGCGGCAGCAGCTCTGCTTGCATCGAGCGGTACACTTAGAATGGCTCGGCATTCCGAAAAATCTCGAGTTATCAAAGCACCGACCGGAGGCGGCCACCGCTATTGTACTCTTGTATATTTGTTTATTTTTGCATGTTTGCCTTATAGCAGCTGTATTTAATGACTTGATTGGCAAAATTCTAACAATATGGTTTAGCTAGTAGTGTGCATTACCCGATCCGAAACCACCCCATACAATTCGACCTTGACCTTGGCTACGCGCCCCTGATCTTGATTTTGGCTCCGCCTCCTTAACATATTTTCCGCATACATGGCACTGCGGTTGACACGACTTTGACGTCACACGACCTTGACCTGGGGCCCCCATATCTAATATAGTGTGACCTTGAGTTGTCTAGGTATAAATATGGGTGGGAGGTGTTTGGTCTTCTGTACGAGAATTTTTAAGAAAAGGTTTTGTTAAATCGCGTCGTGACATTAAAACTGGTTCACGTTTGTGAAAATTGTGGTGCATCATTCAGTCGCAGTTACAGTATTTCTCGTCATAAGAGGAAATCACGATTAATGGCGGATGAGGTTGCGGAGCAAAGAAACCCCGGTTCGATGAAGCTGAATCTATGAAGACTGTGCCGTATGCAATGTCTCAATACCAGCGATTTTATATCAGCTCATCAGAGAACGGCGCAGTATGGGAATAATTCCTGTTCACCAATAATGTAATCATATATACACATTGACACCAACAAGCGATCAAAAGACTGATAAATTTGGGGGTATTGTTCCCGAAAATATAATAAATTTGAAAATATTGAAAAACAAATGCGTATTCTATTCGTAGTTCTTACAGACTTCGAATCAATTTTGAAACCGCGCGATGAACACTATATTATTATAGCTTCAGATAATTTTATTATTAAAATAATACACCTATAGCCTAAATTGTAAGAGCAAATCTGATTACTGAAATAAGCTTCTTCTGCTAGGCACTACAAAGTGAATTATTTATAATTAATCAAGCTGTTCAGCAAAGTATGTTCAACAGTTGATGGCCCATCTAAAATTGAAACTTTCAATTTATCCTGCAAAAGGCAAAAAGTACCTCACTTATAGGATACCAAGAGGCATTTTCCGGTGAGGCTTCTTTTCTAGCCGAACCAACTGCAGCTCTAAGTGCTAAAGGTGAAGCTATAGTCAAGCACGTAGGCGGTTCTGCGATGGCTAAAAAAATAATTGTTTTTTTTCTGAAATATTAAAACAATAAATTACCTTTTGAGCCCAACACTCCAACAGGATTTAAACTGTTATTGGAAAATTTCACTCTGAAATCCTGAGGGATGTCTTTGGCACCTGGGCTGGGACTCTGTAACGAATAGATATATTTTCTCTATCTCTATTGACGTCTCCTCTCTATTTATTTCGACAAGAGAGAAAAAGACACCAAGTGCCTTAACGATAGGGATAACGATCTCTATCCGTTACAGAGTCCCAGTTCTGGTACCTTATAGTTCCAAGTGCGATTGGTTAAAAGTTTGCCTTCTGCACTGTAAACTAGTTGCTCATTGGAATGATAGCCCAGACCCATCAAGACAGCCCCTTCTAATTGTCCTATATCGATCAAGGGGCTCATACTTTGGCCCACATCTTCTAAAATATCCAGACGGAGGATTTCGTGCTTACCCGTCAAAATATCTACTTCTACTTCTAAAGCTATTACAGCGAAAACTGCATAGGGTGCTATACCAGGTGAATCTTCAGAGTAACTGAAAAAATAAACTCAAAGAGTTTCCTGGAAAACAAGTCATACTTACAATCCGTTGGCACTAAGGCGAACATTTTTCACGTAGCAAAGTTGTATGAGTTCCTCCCAAGTTCCATTTGGATTTTTGCTTCTAATTGGTTTAATGCGTTCTAGTAGTACATCACAAGCTCGTAGTAAAGACTATAGAATGTATAAAATTTACTAATTTTAGTTAATTGAATAATTTCTTACATATACAACAGCTTCTGACGTCAAACTACCACCGGACTTGTATGAATTAGGCGAAGCAACATTATAGGACGGTTTCACAGATACTTGTTCCATGGAAATGCCAAATTTGTAGCCGCATACTTGAACCACCTGGAAAGGGCAATATTTAAAAAAATTGTTCCTTATCTTAAACGTTCAGAATACTTTTGTGTTGATTCCTTGTCCCATTTCAATGCCACCATGACTAACGGCAACACCACCATCTATATTGTAAATGGATACAACAGTAGTGTAATTCGTGGGAAAGTCCATACTGTATTTCATAGGAATTACTGAGATACCTTTCTTTTTCCATTTGTTAGCCTAGTATATTGAATTATTGAAAGTCTCATTGTAAATGTCACACATCACCCATAACTATTTAGGATTTAAATGGCGAATAATGATCTACTATAGGCGATTGAAAGGAAAAGAAGAATAGTTCAGTTGGAATGTAAACAAAGAATCAACCGAACATTTGCAGGAAAAAGCTCGGAGTCCACATTTATCAGCAAAAAGTATTCAAATGTTCACCCATGAAATATTAAAAATCAAATCAGAAAAACATTCATTAATGAAGTAAAGAAAACCTTCAGAAGATATAATTATTTGAAGAAGCCATCAAGTAGGTACCTACCTACTTGGCTGAATGTTCATTATACATGTTCTTCTTCACCAAGTACCACCTATATTCGGGGAAAAATAATATATGTATATCGAAGAACTGATGTGAATGGCTCAGATGAACGTTTTATTTGTAAAAGTGAAAGAGTGTGAGTTTTCAATTGACGCAGATGTACAAATCAATTTAAAATGAAGAAGAACCAGTTCCAAACAAATTGCCAACACAATGGGCCACTTTCACATTTTTCAAAAACATTTTTAAATTATTCTTTTAGTCATTCTAATACTATCTGTATACTTTTTTTCCGAAAAAAACCGCTTATTTTTGAAAAAAAAATTATTTAAAAATCGAATTTTTAAACTGGTGTGAAAAAATGAACTTGGTGTGTGACGTCACACACCAGAAAATCAAGGATGCCAAATTTCTCATTAGTAAGTGATTACATATTTCACTAGCTAGAAACTATTTTCGTCCTTTACTACATTATAAAAAAATAAAGGATAAGTATAATCTTTATTAACTCATTTAAATTTCGCATTTCTACATGTGTTAACAAAAATGTCAAAATCGGCTTTAGCCAATCACAGAGCGTTTTCAATCACGTGATTTTTCGTTTAAATTTTTAGTTTTTATTTATTAATTTATTTAATAATCTGACTAAAATCTATCAAAATATTGTTCATTCTTGGTTGCACTGATGTATCTGCGTCAAAAAATATTATAATTTGCCATATTCCCGGCACGTGAAAGTGGCCCATTGCTTCCAGTTTTACCTCATTATATTGTTCAACATCCGCTCTCCTCTCTACAATATCGTCAGATTTCATCAAGTCATCTAAAAAGTCCACCAGCAAAGGATTAGCCGGTGCATACATGTTAGCCCTTCTCACAACTACCGGATCCAGTTTGAGAGTGTTTGCAATGTGGTCCATGATAGTTTCGATTGCAGTTAGACCTTCTAAAACACCTGGAGCTCTAGTGTAGCATTGGGCCGCATTGTCAGTAACCACTGTGTAGGTATCGAAAGTCCAAGTATCGACAACGTAGCAGTTTTGAAATTGGGCTACCAGCAAATGGTCCATTGGTTCGTTGCCACCGATATCGTAGTCCGAATATAAATTAGACTAGAATTTCAAATTAAATTAATTTTTTTTTCTAACACTCGGGAGATATTTACAGTAAGATACTGGATAACTCCACTAGCATTAACTCTAACTTCATATTCATTATAAAGTGAGTATCTTTTGCCAATAATTTCCATGTTATCGTAAAAATTCATCCACATTTTAACTGGTCTGTTAAGTTTGAAGGCAGCTAAAGCAGCTGCTCCCACTGCAAACATGTTCCTGGTTAGTTTGGCCCCAAATGAACCACCTAAACGCCTCACGAACATGCTTATCCTAAAAGATAAATCAATAAATACATTATCAAAGCCTGAAAATCTCTTACTTTTGCGAAGGAATATTGAGAATCTGCGATACAGCCCCTTGCAACGCATTCATCCATTGAGTGGCAGCAAAAATATCGAGCCCATCTTCCTTTGGTATCACCATACAGTTTTGAGTCTCCATGTGGAAATGGTACTGACCACGAACGTTGGTTTTGCCTTTAATCACGGTCTTAACCTCGGTGCCTTTAGATTTAGGCAAAAAACTAGTCCTGTGTGTGATTCTGCTCATTTCATTTGCAACATCTTGAACAGTGAATAGAGGCTTTTTAGTTGGCGGAGTTGTTGAAATTTCAACTAGCTTAGCTGCCGCTTCAGCTGCTTCAAGATTATTGGCCACTATAACGCCCACTTGCTGAGAATAGTGCTGCACAACTTTGTCGCAAAACAGTTTTTCTTCTACCTCCATACTTAGTTTTGCTACAGCAATATTGTTGATTCCAGGAATGTCTTTGGCCGAATAGAATGCTACAACGTCAGGATAATTTAGTGCTTTTATAGGATTTATGTTGGTGATAGTTGAGCCTGCGATAGCTTGAGCTTTAACAAAAACACAATGCAATTAGTGCGGTAAATCTGGCAAGTCTAGCAAATATTGAGCTTGACCTGAGGTTTATGCCAGAGCTTCTACTTTCAAAATAGGCTGTGTTAAAGGATACAATTCCTCTTTACTGTAAATTTCCTGAATTCCGCTAGAAACTGGTCTGGATAGCAGACTGGCTCCGCTTTTATTTCTTTCCGATATCTTTTGTGGAGGTGCAATGCTTAAAATGTACTGCAAATATTTACCAACCAAATAAAGGAAACTATATTTAGAATATTTTACCTTGTAAAAAAGATCGATTGCCAATTGTTTCCTGAAATTCGGACTGGGATCTGGCAAAACCCAATCGGGATTGAGCTCTTGGTCCAGTGATTGGAAAATTTGCTGCAATACGTTATCGTTGAACAAGGGGTTTTTCAAAAGTAAGGCTTCGGTGTTGGAAGCGTGCACGAATGTCGGGTTTATGCCTCCGTAAACGATTCGAGCTGATTTTACTTGGCTCAAATTGTTAATGTTCAATAGGAATCCTGCGTTGACCATTGCGTGAGCGTTTTGAGCTCTTGGCATGATCTGGAACAGAGGACGATGGACTGTTGAAGATTTTTTTGAGAAGGGCAAGGTGTTTTTTCTTGAAATAGAGTTATCCAGTGTTTGTAATGCAATACACCTCATAATCGTTATGATTTATTTTAGAAAATATTCACTGATGAACAATATTGAATTGCTTCAAAAAGTTGCAGTGCTCAAAACCTGATCTAGAAAAAAAACAATATTCTACTGAGAAGAGTAGAAAATATTAACCTAAACTGACACAGTAAATCAAATTTTCAATATCTAGGTTTGTTAGTTTATAGTTTACCTTATAACTTCCATAGCAATATTCAGGACCATATGCGGGTAAAAGTATTTGTTTTAAAACTTTCTTGTTCATATCGACTCTCAAAAACTCTTGCGGAGACACTCTCGTTTCATTTTCGTCGACATCAACTACAAATATTACAATTATTTAATTATAAAAGAACAAACAAGAAATGCAAAATTTACTAATTACTAAAGTAGCTGCTACAGTTTCTAGTATCAAAAATCCATCCGAAGGGAACTCGTTGTGATGGTGCTTGATCATTAAATTGCCCGCAAGAGTGCCAATCTTAAAAATAAATATTTTAGTCTCAGTCATCAAATTTAAGCACCAACCGAACATTTCTAATGCCCGTATTACATCTGTGTATTTTTCCGTGTATTTATTCTTGTAGTTCAGGGTGCCAACATTATTTTGTTTTTCATAATGATCATTTATGTTGCGTTTAACGTATTTCGGTTGTCACCCTGAACTACATGAATAAATACACAGAAAAATACACAGATGTAATACGGGCATAACTGGTACATGAGCAACCAAATCCAAATGATCAGCCATTTTGTCTAAATAAACAAATTTGCTGTTCTTTCTGGCAATTTTTCTAAACAGGCTTATTGTGTCATTTAAACCTATATTTCCGCCTAGTACCAAACTAGTATCTAATGCAGTATAAGTAGTCAGCACTTTTACTGCGGTGACATCAATGTAAAGTTCTGGAGTGGTACTTGGAGTGAGCAAGTACACACCTGAACAAAATAATAAAAATAGTGTTATGAATCTAATCAAAAACTCGTCAACCTCTTGCAGTGTTTCCTGCTACAAGCATGTAGCGCCTATTTCCGGTGGTTCTCAAAATTTCCAATATGTCAACCAATTTATAAACTTTCATCCATTTGATAGGCTCCATATCAAAATAAACTGGAGTTTTTTTGCAAGTTTGCCGACATTTGTTTTCGCATTTTGCTTTAGAGCACTTCCCAACGTCTTCTAAGTCATCAATTTTCATTATATCATCTACAAACAAAAGCAATTTATAATAATTGAATAGTTTGTGGATAAGAATAGTAGGTACTGGAATCTGATGCTAGTTTTTTAAAAGCAGTCAATATTGGCCGATAACCGGTGCAGCGGCATAAATTTCCCCCAAAAGAGTCTTCAATTTCAAGTTGGGTTTTCGGTCCGGACTCGTGCAAAGCATACATGCTCATCACCATGCCAGAAGAACAAAATCCACATTGAGTGCCATTATTGTCGGCCAAAAGTTTCTGGATGGCATGATAACCGATTAAAGGATTCCCAATGCCTTCTTCGTTGGTTAAGATTTTCCAGCCGTGACAGGAAAAAATTGAGACCAAACACTGAAATAATTATTAATCAGAATACGAATTGAAGAGGATTTTTTAATTACTGAATTGACTGCAAAGAGTTTTTTGGTGCCATCTGCTTCTAGTGCTTCTACTGTAACTATGCAAGTGCCACAACCGCCTTTAGGCACATTTTCTTCATAGCTGTAAGATGTAGTTTGTCTCTTAGGTAACTATTCAGGGTGGTTTCAGGGGTGACATCGCTAGAATTAACTTTAAAAAAGTTTTAAATATACAAATCACCTTCAACAGTTACCTGTATGTTGAGTTTCACCCAAATAAAACTTGATTTTCGATACCCTAAATGCAATTAATTAGTACATAATTTTATAAATTTAATTTAGGTATTAACTTACAGTTTCGTCGTTTTCTAGTATAAAACAATAACAAAATAATCTCTAAAGAAACTGCTAGGTAGTAGATTGCAGCGATTGAAAATTCAAGTCAGAGACGGTTTTGGAATATTTTGGTGTAATAATCTGATGTTGTACGAGCGTTAAAGCTCAAATAATATATTATATATTCGGTACTCCTCTGAAATATTTACAATAACAAGACACCGTTTTATTGATTGGAATTAGCACCGTGAAAGGACAGGTCAGGTAAATATACCAATTAAGTGATCTTTGATGTGGTTATTTAATTTGTTATTCTGAAAAATTCCTAGAAATATAAATTAAAGAATCTACTCGAAACTCTCCTGCCTTTTTTTTGCCTTTTATTCCCTTTTTTTTTCAACCTTTTGTCAGTTTTTTCTCCACATTTTCTGCTGGTTGTTTCCCCAGCTTTTGAGTTTTTCGTCGAAAAGTATTGGGATCTTTGAAAAACAAAAACTGAAGAGAAAGGACCCTGCACCAATCTTATGGAAAATGGCTTTCGGTGAAATTGTCTGTTTGGATATGTTGTTATCTTCTGGACATTCTAAACAAAAATAATCATTAGCACAAAAAAATTCAAAGAAGCCCTTTTCGAGTTATGGTGAGTTAAAAGATATCAAATCCAAGAGCACTTCAAATTTTTCTCACTTTATAAAAATGTAGACATTGTTATGAATTTATGTTTCAAATAGCATTACTATTCCAAAAAATTAAAATAGTGAACAACCAAATAATTACAGATCTATCACCTGTCACCTGTCTAAATAACATATGTACCTACATATACAAGACTCTAGCGAAAATTATGTCAGAAAGATTACATGCACATTTAATAGATAATAAATTATACGCACAAGAACAAAGAGGACGCATTAAAAACTGTTATGGATGACCATCTTCTAACAAGTCAAACAATTCACGAAGACTGTAAAGAAAGCCTTAAAAGTTTATCACTAGCTTGGATTGATTATAAAAAGGCGTTTGACATAGATGGCTTATAGAATCGCTAAACATATAGCGTGCATCGCCAATTCTACTAAATGTTATATGTAAGACCATGGCTACGTGGAAAACCGATCTAAACTTAACAACAGCCACGACCACTGTAACCATCAAAGATTAAGAATGGGATTTACCAGGGAGATTCAGAATCAGAATCAGAATATCTTTATTTTAAAGAAACATACAAAAGAGATTATAAAAAACATCAATTGTTGTTTAACTAAATAGTGTCAAAATATATACCTAAAGTTAAATTTAAATTTGAGTTCTACAACAATAAGTATTCTGCAAATAAGAGAGTTAAAAAAAGAACATTTCAAAATTTTCTCCAGAATATAATTTGAATATTTGTAAAGTAAAGTAAATTGTGTTTACAGTCAAACAGTATAAAATAAGTCATTAGTACATACAATCGGTGCGGAGTCCGGAAAATGGACTAACATCCATTGTTTGGAAGCAACTCTACATGCCTAATACATGGCTATTCATCACAAAAAATCCTACCAAAATAGCAGTGATATGCAAGGGAATCAGAGAAGACATTGCTCTGAACCAAAGTGGAATACTGCAAGTGGAACAAGATTGCATAGTCAAAACGAAACAAAACACTCTGACGACAAGACGAGTAAGCACCGCTCCAGTAATTGCGAGTTATTCCAAGGCGATTCTCATCAACATAACAGACGTCCCGCAAAATAACGAACCAGAACAACTCGAAGAAGAGCCAATTTTCAAAATCTCCGACAGCTTGAATACAGTGAGACTAAATGAAGAAAAGATTCGGGAACAGCTACAAACGGCAATTTGGAAAAACATACAAACCCACACATACGCCGCCACTGGAGTGTCAGCAGCAATAATTTTTGCGATAGTATTATTAGTATGGGTCATTCAAAAACAAATAACGAACGCAACCCGACGCAGGCAGAGGAATAGGCCGGAGTCAGCAAAACAAACTGAAATGCTCGAGTTGCAGCCACTACGCAACCTAGACTCAGTCGAGACAGGGGAGAATGTTGAATCAACATAAATTAGAAATTTCAACATAAATTTTAATTTAATCTGAAATTTCTACATCATTATAAAATCCACAATTTATTAGGAAATAAGGCAAGGTAATTAAACCCATCGCAAACCTTGCACAAAGTTACTAAAAAACCACGAATCGATGTTCACGGGTTTTTCACCTTAATTTCCGTTATGATACCGCGTAGCGCCAGTGTTTTAGATACAAAGTCAACACACCTTTAATTGTTATTAAGTTATGAAAAATATTGTAATTAATTATTATTAGTTATGATAAATATTTCAATTTGAACCTAACAATATTTATCATAACTAATAATAATTAATTACAATATTTTTCATAACTTAATAACAATTAAAGGTGTGTTGACTTTGTATCTAAAACACTGGCGCTACGCGGTATCATAACGGAAATTAAGGTGAAAAACCCGTGAACATCGATTCGTGGTTTTTTAGTAACTTTGTGCAAGGTTTGCGATGGGTTTAATTACCTTGCCTTATTTCCTAATAAATTGTGGATTTTATAATGATGTAGAAATTTCAGATTAAATTAAAATTTATGTTGAAATTTCTAATTTATGTTGATTCAACATTCTCCCCTGTCTCGACTGAGTCTAGGTTGCGTAGTGGCTGCAACTCGAGCATTTCAGTTTGTTTTGCTGACTCCGGTCTATTCCTCTGCCTGCGTCGGGTTGCGTTCGTTATTTGTTTTTGAATGACACATACTAATAATACTATCGCAAAAATTATTGCTGCTGACACTCCAGTGGCGGCGTATGTGTGGGTTTGTATGTTTTTCCAAATTGCCGTTTGTAGCTGTTCCCGAATCTTTTCTTCATTTAGTCTCACTGTATTCAAGCTGTCGGAGATTTTGAAAATTGGCTCTTCTTCGAGTTGTTCTGGTTCGTTATTTTGCGGGACGTCTGTTATGTTGATGAGAATCGCCTTGGAATAACTCGCAATTACTGGAGCGGTGCTTACTCGTCTTGTCGTCAGAGTGTTTTGTTTCGTTTTGACTATGCAATCTTGTTCCACTTGCAGTATTCCACTTTGGTTCAGAGCAATGTCTTCTCTGATTCCCTTGCATATCACTGCTATTTTGGTAGGATTTTTTGTGATGAATAGCCATGTATTAGGCATGTAGAGTTGCTTCCAAACAATGGATGTTAGTCCATTCTTCCGGACTCCGCACCGAGTTGACTCCGATCTTTGATATATTTCGTCAATTATGCAATTCGGATTGGTCTCTATATTTTTCACTGCTGTCGGAGAGCACACATATTTGTTTTGTGATGTCGATATGCATGAGGTGAATTCTTGATCGCTTTGCTGGAAATATTGCTGATTATTGTAGTCCACTGCTACTATCTCACTGGGAATTTCAATTTTCCAATATGACCCATTTTCTACTTTTAGTGGCGTGGGCACAATCTTCAGAACTTCAAACTTGGAAATATCTTCGATCATGAAAAATGTAAATATTTTTAGTGATTGCTCGTCCTTTTCTACCTTCGTCAATGTGATCGGTGCTTGTACTATCTTCAGATTTGAGGGTAGTTTTTTGTTTGCTTCTGTGATGATTGTCTTTACGTGTTTTGGCGCTAATAACTCATACAGTGTTGCGTTGTTGTACAGGATTCTGAAGAGTTTCTCGTAGTACTCACATAGTTCGTCGAGGTAGTTGTTTGCTAGATTGTATGCACTCAACAGATGAATATTCAACGAGTTGGTATCGACGGCGCTATACCAGTTTTTCATTGCATTTACTGCCTCAATGCCTTGATTCAATTTTGTTCTGAACTGTTCCAATTGACGTTGGATGCGAACTTCTGTCTCGTTTATTTGTGAAATGGCACTGATCATTACTTTGCTCTGATGTTTGGCTGCCTTTATAAGTTCATCTTGATTCGACTGCAAGCTGCTGATGTCTCTGTATACCTCGTCGTTTACTCCAAAGACTGAGGTAAGTAGTTCTCCAAATAATCCTCTTTTCCTGCGGGTTCCTGCTATTTGCATACTCTCTTTCACAAGAAGAATCTCTTTTTCTCTTTCAATTAAGTGCTTGGACAAAAGATGACACTGGGTCTCCTGGGATAGGGCCTTTGTTTTATTGCACAGCTGCTGGAATTCTTCGATGATTCTCGAAGCATTTGCTACGTCTTCGTTGATCCTTGTTTTGTCTATATTTATTTGTAATCGGAACACCCCTCTGTTTATGCTTGCTACTCCTATATGCTCCACATATATGCCTTTTTGCGGATGATGAATCGTGTAGTTCGCTTCACTGGTAGGTGTCCATATGACACACATTGCTAGCAGGAGGAATTTGCACACTTTGCTCATGCTTCTATTTTTACCGTTGTTTTCTCTCACGGCTTTTTCATTGGCTTCTGGTTTTTCCTGTATTGGTTCGTCTGTTTTTTCTACTGGTAACGGAATCAAGCTGGTTATGGCCCGTTTTAGTGTTGTGTTGCCTTTTCTCAAGGTGACAACTCGGATGAGGTCATCTTTGCCAGGATGTACTTCTATTATTTTTGCTAGCGGTCATTGCGCTGGATTTATGAAGTCTTCTTTTATGATGACGATTGTTCCGACTTTCAAATTTTCCTGTGCCGTGTTCCACTTGTACCTGACTTGTAGTCTGCTTAGGTACTCTGTAGACCAAGCATTCCAGAAATCTCTCTTCATTTTTTGCACTAATTTCCATCTATGGGAAAGGCTAGGATTAATTTCCGTGCTTATCGGGTCTGGTGGGGATACTATTGGCCTCCCTATTAGAAAGTGTCCAGGCGTAAGTACCATCGAATCATCGACGCCATCACTAAGTGGGCATAAGGGCCTCGAATTTAGGCAGGCTTCGATCTGATGCATCAGCGTTGTTAACTCTTCATAGGTCAGGGTGGTTTCACCAATGACTCGTTTCAGATGATGTTTCATCGATTTCACACCCGCCTCCCATATTCCTCCGAAGTGAGGTGCTGTTGGAGGGATGAAGTGCCATTTCGTTCCTGCTGTGTGCATTACGTCCAGGACTTGCGATTTTTCTATCACTTCCTTGACTTCACTTTCTAAATGTCTGGCAGCGCCGACGAATGTTGTCCCATTGTCGCTGTATATGTGTGAACATTGTCCTCTTCGGGCGGTG